AGCACCAAGAAATGACCTCGAAAACCCATAAGTGGCGAGTAATTAGCATTGCAAAAGTAATTAAAATATTCTAAAAATGATTTGAACATTTTCTAAAAGCCATTTGAACAAGTTATAATCAAGATATTAAATTTTGGTTAACAGATCCTTAAGCAGCACATTCAGGAGTACCTATACTGAAATTTTGAACAAAATCCATTTTTTGGCCGAAATGACAAAAATTGTAAGTCTAAAGCCTTAAAGGATTTTTGGCCAAAAATACTTTTTCTCTCTGAACTAAAATTTAATGTGCCTAACTATTTAAGTACATCCAGAATAAAGCTGTAGCAGTATAGCCACGGTGTTTTACTTTTTACCTATGCAGGTTACAACATACAAATTACAATTAGGATGGTAGAAATAGTTGTTACAAATAGGCCAAGGAGTCGGAGTCGGAGTCGGAGTCGGAAGCACAAAAATTTGAGGAGTCGGAGTCGGAGTCGGAGTCGAAGGTTTTGTCTTCGACTCCACAGCCCTGGTTCAGCCCCTCATAAATGGTGGCAGTAGCAGCCCTCATACAGTAAACCCTCGATAAGTCGGCACATTTGGGCTCTGGCCTTGCCGAGTTATCCCAAATTCCGACTTATCGAGGCACATTCCCCCTTCATACAAAATTCAACAATAAAAAATTATCGACCCATATGTGTGTGTGTACAGGTAATTACTAAATGTCCAAAAGGGTAACACTTACCTGCACTGCAGGCGAAGAATGAAGCATCATTGTAGGTGACACAGGTGTATGGTAGGTGACACAGGTGCATGGTAGGTGACACAGAGGTATGGAAGGTGACACAGAGATATGGTAGGTGACACAGGTATGGTAGGTGACACAGATGCATGGTAGGTGACACAGATGCATGGTAGGTGACACAGATGCATGGTAGGTGACACAGAGGTATGGTAGGCGACACACAGGCTTGGTAGGTGACACAGGCATGGTAGGTGACACAGAGGTATGGTAGGTGACAGGTATGGTAGGTGACACACAGGCATGGTGGGTGACCTGGCATGGTAGGTGACACAGAGGTATGGTAGGTGACACAGGTATGGTAGGTGACACAGAGGTATGGTAGGTGACACAGAGGCATGGTAGGTGATACCGGTGACTAGATATGCCGAGATTTTTGCTGTTGACAACACAATATACATAATGTACATTATGTCGTTTCTCACTCTTGATTTATTTATTTATATTTATTTATTTTTTTTACTATTTATGGTTATTTTTTATTATTATTACTATTATTTTGTTTATTAATTTTTTTATTAATTTTAATTATTATTATTATTACCCCCCTGTATTATTATTATTATTATTATTATTATTATTATTATTATTATTATTATATCTTCGCCCCCTAGGCCCTGGTGTAGGTCAGTGACCTGTGCCCGGGTGGGCTAATCCCTGTAAAAAAAGAAAACATTCCGAGAACATATCCATGCTGAGTTGTATAAAATTCCGAGTTATCGAGGGTTTACGGTATCTTAAAAGACAGGTTACATACGCATCAGCTTTCTGTGTATTTTTTCTTTAAAATGATTGTGACTCCATTTCTAATTTATCAAACCAGGAAGAAGCATGAAGGAAACAGGAAGAGGAGTCAAGGAAATTAAAGGAAGAAGAAAAGCAAAATGAGGAGGAAAAACTATTATATCTGACAGAGCAACGCCGTCGTCACGAGGAAGAAAGGAAACTGTAAGTGTGTAGTGGATTCCTCCCCTACAAATGCTGTTTGTTGCTGCCTAGCCGACCCCACGACTTCACCAGCCTGCCCTCGTGGTCTAGGTCAGCAACCAGCGCCGCCTTACATGACGGAGGTCAACTATTATGCCACGCCTACCTCTGCTATATAAAACCTCACCTCGTGGTGACCTCTCTCTTTCTACCTACGGCCACCAGCAAGCAACACCTCCTCCTCCTCTGCTCCTGCCTGGAGGCCCTCGCTCCCGCCGGCGAGCATGGCGACCCACAAGCTGTCCTCCTCTGAGCACCCTCACCAACCAGCTCTCTCTACTCAATGCTTGTAACCATGCTGCCTTCCCAGCACCAAGCTGCATAGTACATCCAATACAATATGTATACAGAGAGCACATTGTGAGTTTCCTTTCTCCATCCCATCCTGAGTGAGAACAAATATCTCGTACCCACAAATGGTGACCCCCGGAGATTCGCTCTCACACAGGATGGAGGAGAAACTGATCACTCTCCCAGTCTTCAAGCAACATGGAAGACTGTCTTATCCACACAGAGGCAGCTCTCATTGGCTCTACAGCTACTGTCTCTACACCGCAGGTTAAACACCCAAGAGCAGCACTGCTTCTCTAAGCAGACACCAGTTCCTCTTCCTGCCCCAAGCACCACGTCCTACCGACCCCAACACACCGTCCTGCCTCAGACGCCCCCGGGCCCAGCAGTACCCCCTGCCACTGTCCTGGACCCTCCCCCTGACGTGGACCCTCCTCCGCTCCTGCCTGGCAGCCCCTGCTCCCGACGCGGCCCATGCGCCTGAGCGGCCCCACACACCCTTTTTTTTTCTCCCTCAGGTACTCCCTGCTACTGTCCTGCACCCTGCTGCTGTCGTGGACTCTACTGCTGCCATGCACCCCAGTGCTGTCATGGACCCTCTTCCTGATGCAGCCCCTGCTTCTGATCCAGACCCACACACCCCAGCAGGCGCATCTGAGGACTCTGTACCTGCCGCGAGAGAAGCACAACATTCATTGCCTCCACAACCCTCCTTCTCCCTCTTCTCCCACAGATCTCGTGTATCTAGACAAAGTTGTCTCCCCTAGCGGCCGGCTCATCCACGCCCTCGCCGTTATGTCTCACATGTGGCATGCACCGCCCGTTCTGCCTCACATGTGGAATGCAACCCTGCAGACAACAAGTCTCCTACACTGCCTGGAGGGAAGGGGGGAGTATTGTAGTGGATTCCTCCCCTATAAACGCCGTTTGTCGCTGACTAGCCGATCCTCGAATTCCCCAGTGTATGCCTCGTGGTCTAGGTTAGCAACCAGCGCCGCCTTACACGACTGAGGTCAACTATTAAGCCATGCCTACCCCCGCTATATAAGACCTCACCTCGTGGTGACTTACCTCTTACTACCCACAGCCACCAGCAAGCAACACCTCCTCCTCCTCTGCTCCTGCCTGGAGGCCCTCGCTCCCGCCGGCGAGCATGGCGACCCACAAGCTGGTCCTCCTCTGAGCACCCTCACCAACCAGCTCTCTCTACTCAACGCTTGTAACCATGCTGCCTTCCCAGCACCAAGCTGCATTGTACATCCAATACAACATGTATACAGAGAGCACATTGTGAGTTTCCTTTCTCCATCCCATTCTGAGTGTGAACCAATATCTAGTACCCCACAGAACTATGGTGCTCTTTTGAAAACCGTGTTATTTAAAAAATAGGTGTTAATTTAATGCTAGTGTTGTTTTAAGAACATGCTAATTAAATCCGTGTAAAGCGAGAGGTGACTATACTGCTCCGAGCCCCCATGTCTGTGACTCATCTGTGAGGGTGTGTAAATTCATAAAATTAGAGAGGTAATTCAAATTTTAAGTTAAAGCAGGGAGTGAAGCTGTTCCATACATTCCCCGCTGCTGGGCGAAGTTTTGCTGGTGGTGGATAAGAAGATATCATTTGGGTCATATGTGCTATGACAATATATTATAATATTTGTTTGTTTTATCTCAAGCATAATTGCTTTTATTGCACTTTTCAATTGAAACGTAAGCATCTTGCATTTGATACATCATATTTTTATGTAAAATAGATGCGCATTCAGTAATACAGTACCTCGTTATTCACAAGCCTGCTTATTCGCAATTTATATTTTAACAGGCATATTCTATACTTAGTACAGTACCTATATTCGCAAAGCATACCTTGCTTATCCGCAAAGCAAATTAGAAAATTGGAAGAAATAATTACAGTATGCTACAGTAAATTTATTTTCAATTTTCAACCTGAAGTGATTGCCTTCAGTGGACCGCTCCCGAAATCCCAGGTAGGGTCGTCCTCTACACTGATGGTTCTGTTGACCCCACTACAGGTAGGGCCGGGGCTGGTGTCTACATCTCCCGTCCTGATGCCCCTGAGCCTATCAAACTGTCTCTCAGAGTTTCTGACGGGGCATCCTCCACTCAGGTGGAACTAATAGCCCTCCTTGCTGCCCTTCTCGCTGAGGAAGAAGCAGATGGTTTCTGCCCCTTGCTTGTCTGCTGCGATTCCAGGTCTGCTCTCGACGGGATCGCATTTGGATCAGGGGAAAATAAGGACCTCATCCTCCGAATACGAGGGTTAACATCCACACTTCAGGATGCAGGCCGTCCTGTGACATTCCTATGGATGCCCAGTCATGTCGGTATCTTGGGGAATGAGGCAGCAGATGGCCTTGCCAAGACTGGCTGCAACAAGGCCACACCTGACTACGTTGTTCCCCGAACACTTTTACAGCTCAGGACCCAAATTCGCCGCAAACAGAGAGAAGCTCGGGAAACAGCCATCCCCCTGGACTCCCCGCCCACCTGGCACAATGTCCTCCGTAAACTTCCTGACCTCTCGTACGTCTATGGGAGAGGGTCTCGTAAAGGGGACGTGATTGCTGCCCGTATCATCATTGGGTATGACTTTGCTTGGGAGATTGGTATCCCGGCATCCCCTGAGCAACGCTCTTGTGCATTATGCAGAAGACCCGACAGCAGCACCCTTATCCACTACCTCCTAAGATGTCTCCACACACAACGCTTCCGTGACGCCTGTTGGACCACCACTCCACGACCCCCTGACGGAGACACGATGATCCTCCCAATACTGGCCAGTTATTTTGTAAAAAACATTGATTATGTGTTAAAGGAATATCCTTCCTTCCTTAGGCTTTAGTAAGCCCCTTTATAATATTTATGCTATATATACTTGTCACACTTGCCAGATGCATCTGGTGTCATTGTACAGGGGTACCTAGTGACAGCACTAGGATCCCGCTTCCTCTATCAAGGAATAAACAATTGAAATTGAAAATTGAACTGCACAGGCTAGCTAGTGCAGCACTCATACTGTATTCCTGTCAGAAGTAGTGCTTGGCAGAGATGCCAGGTACGATGCTGTTACCAGCTTTGGACTTCTGACCCCAGGACTCGGCTGAATATGCTGTAAATGTTGTTCCTCTTTAATGGTCGTTAATTATGCCTGCACATCTCTTCATTTCCGATTTAATGGAATATTTCTGCTGGTTACCGTCATTTAATTTGGTTTATTTTAGGCATGATAAAGGATTAATGTGTGGCTGTGCATTATTGCATTTATAATGTGCTTGGTGGGATTTTTTGGGTGGAGGCCATATGTGTTTTCATAATGGAGTTTTGTTTTCTATGTATGATGATATTTAACCTTTCAGGAGCAAAATAAGGAACATGTGCTGGAGGTGTGTGTCATCTCTGGTGCTTGGTGGCTCAAGCTATGCGAGCAGGCTGCATAGTTAATTGTTTTTGCTGTGTATTCATACACCAGGCCACGTGAAAGAGTTCTCTCTGTCTGCTTTGATCTGTTGCGTTGTGTGGTAGTGTCAATACTGTGTCAAAATGTTTTTTGTAATGCCTCCTACTCATTCACACATTTTATACACACACAATCACAAAGTTTAGCAATTATTAAAATATTTGTGTCGGTGTGTCTTTATAGTAAGTGAATTTTTTACACCCATGGTGAATCAATAACTGAGCAAGAATTATAGTACAGTACTCTATTTTGACCTTAACATGCAGAGGTCAGCTTATCTTGTGTTTTTTCACAGGAAGATTACTAAAAGATGTGGCATCATATGGTATAAACGATATATTTGCTATTTTTTACAGTATAATCACAGTCAAGAGATGTAAGCCTGGATTTGTGCACCATGCAGTGAGTGGTGATATAGATGGCGCGGGTGGCAGCATCACTCCGCTAGTTGCTCCTCCCGGTAAACAACGCCCTGGTCACTCAGGTCGACGCCATTTTGGTTGCACGGAAGTTAATTGTCAAGAGCCTCAAGCGTCCCGTGAACTTATACAGGATACAATATATTCTGGTGATACAGCCCCGTGAATGTATACAGGATACAATATATTCTGGTGATACAGCCCCGTGAATGTATACAGGATACAATATATTCTGGTGATACAGCAGGGAGGTTTTAATCTTTCTGACTCGCCCATGATGTACAGCAACAGTAGAACAGGAGCTGCTGTGCACCGGCCTATTGCACAATGTAAGTCCACTTAACCAAGGTTAATTTAGGGAAGTCATCCAATGAGTATTTCCATTATGGTCCGCGATAAATAGATCCTTAGTCATTAAAATTACCATCCACTTTTGTGTTGCCAAGGTGTAGAAAACGGCTACCACCAAAAGTTGTTTGTTGATTTTGGTATACTAATTGTTTTAAGTATATTAATAGAGATGACAACTTTCTATTATGATTTTAAGTATATTTTTGTTATTTACTCTATCCCGCTCCTCCCGGCGCCATTTTTGTTGTTTATCTCTTGCTAATTCCCTCGTTTCTATAAATAATATTGGTGACTCTTCCACGTATTCCTCCTCGCCATTGCTGACTTATATCAACCTTAAGTTGTTTAACACATAAATTAACACGATAATGCATAGAACCTGACCTAACATACCCAACCTATGGGTATGTTAGGTCAGGTGTTCTCTGCATATTGTCGCTTCCATTTTTGTGTTTAATATGATAGTAAATTTGGTTTGTTAGGTTAAGTTTGGTTGGTCGGGTTAAGTTTGGCTGGTTAGTTTGTTTGGTTTGTTAGGTTAAGTTTGGTTGGTTGATGATTTGTGGCTTTTAGACAGAGTTGTAAAGTAACAAAATAAATGTTACTTGAGTATTGTACTCGAGTAACATTTTTGGGTGTTTACTTTTTAAAAATTACTACTACAGGTTGTACCACTCTATAGTCCGGCATTCTGTGGTCCGGAACGATTTTAGTTTGTCCAATAGGTAGATAGGCAGTTATTTTTTTTTTTTTTTACTAATCTGAATTATTATTATTATTACAGGAGTATTAAATTTTTGCCCCTCAGGCCCCAATGTGGGTCAGTGACCTATGCCCTGGTGGGCTAATCCCCTTAAAAAAAAGCAGCGAGAAATTAAGGTTTGTTTATATCCGGCAGTTCGGTTGCTCTCTCTCTCTCTCTCTCTGCTTGTCTATACAGAGTACAACATTTAACCCTTCAATATATATGAGGCAGTAAATAAGTGTTGCTTTCATATTCTTATGTAGAGTAATGACGATATATTTTCACATGTGCGCACTTACGAGCAGTCTCACTTTTTTTTTTTTTTACCATTAATGGTTAGCTACTTATATTGTTCCATTTATTAACATTAAATAACATTACAGGTACTTCAAGCAACCATATTAATTTTTTACATTAATTTTACTACAGCTAAACTCAGGGTCTTATTTTCTTCAGTTTTATATGTAGAACCAATCAGTTACTGGTTTCGTAAGCTTTAACATAAACAATGCCGGCAGCCGTCTCGTCTCCTCTAATATTCCACGTATTATTAATAAATTGTATTGTTAATTTTGCACACACGTACATTAATTTAATAAAAACAAATTCAGAAACATTAATTAAAATATATATGAACAGTAAATAAGTGTTGCTTTCATATTCTTATGTAAAGTAATGACGATAGGTTTTCACGTGTGCGCATGCGCACTTACATATGCGATCTCTCTTTTTCTTTACCATTATCGTTAGCTACTTCTATTGTTCCATTTATTAACATTAATTAACATTACTTAAAACAACCATATTAATTTTACTACAGCTACAACCAAGGTCTTATTTTCTTCAGTTTTATATGTAGAACCAGTCAGTCACTGGTTTTGTAATCAACGAAAACAATGCTTTGTCATTTCCTCGTGTGTTTTAATATTCTACGTATTATTAATGAATTGTATTGCTCATTTTGCACACAAACATTAATACAATAAAAAAGACATTCAGTAATAAACAATAATGAATCTTTTGTACATAAGAGAAATGACGCTGTTTACACGATTATGCACGTCGTCTGCACGTTGGCGGGCCGTTCAAACCCGTCGAAATTCAAGTTTCCGCCGTCAAAATTTTTATTTATTTATTTTTTTGTGTGTTCCAATAAAATACATTAAGAATTAAAAACTCGCGAAATTTGAGAAGGTACTATACGACATTTAACCCTTCAATATGTCTTCAAAGAGACCATGACGCAGAGAAAGTGGTGCTAGTGCTTCCAGGCATAAGCACAAGTCACTATCTATCCAGGAAAAGGGTGAATTTCCATGGTCCGGCACCGGTCAGGTCCCGACGTTGCCGGACTAGAGAGGTACAACCTGTACTTGGAAATTATAAATAAAATAATTTGTAGAATTTTCTGTGGCCAAAAATACTGTTTTATTTTAAATCCCAGTCAAATAACCTGTGGTTATTAAGCCGGATACTGGTCAAATAACCCCTGCCTATAATATAATAGTTTTACAGTGCAGTGTTGTGTATTATACAGTACATAGTTATTTTTCTTATTTCCAGGAAGTTTCAAGGACCAACAACACATCTCGGTATGACAAGCTAAGACTCAACTAAACAAACTGATGAAACACCTCTGACCTGTGGGACACACTTGTATGTGATGCCATCAACAGCAACTGATGAAACACCTCTGACCTGTGGGAGGTGAGACTTATACAGATATTCTGTTACTTAACATCATGTTATCTAATGCTTGTGTTTATGTACTGTACAGTACTGTAGTATTTAAAACATGAATTACACTGTGCCAGTAAATTATAAATCCTCTTTATACTGTATGCCTTTTCTCAAGAATATCGGCTAACTTTATAATTTAAGCATTTTATCGTTCACTTTCCAGAAAAGAAAACATCCAGTAACAGTATTCCCAATCAAAATTCCTGACCCCTTATCTTGTGTTTGAGTACATGAGGGCATGACATAGATTTTGTTTAAATTTCATACAAAGATGCTCTTTTATATGCTGATTAAGAATATAGATTTAAAATACACAATCGTGTATTCCTCTGAAAGTGTGCATTTATGTAAATGTTTATAAAAGAGAGAGTGTGTGTTTATATGCATTTGTGTTTGTTTAAAAGTGTGTGTGTGTTTTGTATAAATATTTGAATGTGTTTTAGTGTAAAAGTGTTAGTGTTAAGTATACAAGCACTTGTGTAACATCAGGTATAAAAACAAATGTCAAGATTAGTTATTGCTTAAACTTGACTCAAAATTAACCTTTTGGCCACCCACTAGAGGTGGTCATTGAATTGAATTGAAACAGTTTATTAGCCAGAAAAACACAGATCCAGAGTGGATAATAATAACAATATTAACATGGCTGAGCCAGTTGAGAACCTGAGCTGCACCTGATTATAGTAATATACTATACATTTATCTCAAGGAAATATTATGTAACATTTAGTATCATCTGGAATAGTACAATAACATGGTGGTAATAAGAACATCTCATAATGTTACCACGGTTATCACTTCAATATACCTCAGTGTTCACAAGAGAGGATGCAACTAACCTTCCTGCGTTTGAGGACAGACGGTTCGACACAGCACTGACCCACATTGTGTTCACAGAAGAGGGTATGAGAAATAAACTGTCCAGGCTAAAGGTCCATAAGAGTCCTGGACCTGACATGGTGCATCCTAGAGTGCTAAGGGAGCTGTGCAACGAGCTTGCAGAGCCCCTGAAGATTCTGTTTTGTAAATGCCTGGATGAACAAATGGTCCCCAGTGAATGGAAAGTGGCTTATGTGAGTCCTATCTTCAAGAAGGGCGATAGGCACTCCACGAACAACTATAGACCGGTGAGCCTGACCAGCATAATATGTAAAGTAATTGAGAGTATTATCAGAGATGCAGCGATGGAACATCTACTACGAAACAACCTTGTATTGCCAACACGGTTTTATGCCGGGGCGCTCTTGCTTGACACAATTGCTCCAGGTATTGGATATTTGGACCCATATTCTAGAACGGGGTGGTAATATCGACAATATTTACCTAGATTTTGCCAAGGCTTTCGACAGTGTACCCCACGAAAGGCTGAAAATCAAACTGGAAGGGTACGGAATTCGGGGAAATGTCCTAGCGTGGATAGAAGACTTTCTACATGACGGCAAGCAATGTGTGGTGATTAATGGCACGAAATTGTCATCTGTACCTGTAACAAGTGGGGTACCGCAGGGTAGTGTATTGGGCCCGCTGTTGTTTGTTTGTTTCATAAATGATATGCCTGACGTTGTACACTCCTCCATACAAATGTTTGCCGATGACGCCAAGTTATTTCGGGAAATTAAGAACCAAGCGGACTGTGAAGAGCTGCAGAAGGACCTCTGTGGGCTCCAGGAATGGTTGAAGGAATGGCTGCTGAGATTCAATGTCACGAAGTGTAAGAGGATGCACCTGGGGCGTACCAACGGTAAGGAGGCGTACCATATGTCCCAACGGGATGAAGAAAATGTACTAGTTGAGACTGTGTGTGAGAAGGACCTAGGTGTGTATGTTGACAATGAGCTGAAGTTCTCGGGCCATTGTGAGAAGAAGGTAAATCAGGCAAATAAATTATTGGGTCTTATAAGAAGGTCGTTCAGATATCTAGACGGTCCGTCCCTCGTGACGATCTTCAGGAGTGAAGTGCTTCCCATCTGGAGTACTGTCACCCCATCTGGTCCCCGAGATATGCTAGGGACTGTCAGTTGGTTGAAAATGTTCAAAGGAGGGCCACCAAGCTGGTGCCTGCACTTCGGCATCTCAGCTACCCTGCGAGATTGGAGCGCCTGAACTTGCCTAGCTTATACTACAGACGGGCAAGGGGGGACCTAGTTGAGGTTTATAAGCATCTCAGGGGGCACTACTCAGTTGAGTGTCCTTACTTGGAGCTGGCGGACGCTCGCCCCACAAGGGGTCACAGCTCAAGATTGAAGAAGCCGCCAAGTCCGGGAAAAACCCGTGAGCAAACTTTTCGGAGTGAAATTTGTAAACTCTTGGAACAATCTACCAGAAAGGGTGTTGTGGCGGCACGGTGTGAGCGCTCTTTCAGAAGACTTGACCAACACTTTGGAAGCGGGTTCAGGCACATTCAGGAGCGGTGCATGCCCAGTATTTGCCAGCAGTGCGTGACGAGGCATTGACGATGCTTGGCTAGCGGTGACCTTTTGGTGAAGAATATAAAGGAAAAGTGGTGACGATGCATGGCATTTAACAAAGCCGATCAGTGGCGAAAGATAAAAGTAAAGTAAAAATATATACACATTCAACAAATCACTATCTCTGAGATGTTCGTTTTAATTTTGTTTTAATTTGATTCAATAGATGTTTACTAATGAGAGTTTCCTTCCATTGAATGTAAACAAACACATGGCTGCCACACTACACAATACCTGACAAGCCCCTGTAAATGCAATAGTGAAGGGGACTGTACATAGTACCTAACACTGCCATAATAAGTTAATCTAACTCAGTTGAACTTTGTTGAATATTTTAGTGTTCATGTTTTAAAGTACAGGGTAGTTGAACATCTTATGTGCCAAATGATGCTGCAACATAACTAGGCGCCTTCTGTGTTGAATGATTCATGTGTTCCCTTGACAGATGTGTGTTGTGAGATTTTGTATTTTGATTTTACACTTCTTGACTCGTTCTCATTGTCTTGCAGGCACTGTGTGTGTTGTTGCCACTATCGAGTATCGGTAGCTGCCTGCAGGCAAGATGTCTGAGGCAGGATACCTTTAATACAGCCGGATTAATATCTGAGTGCAAGACGCGTCAGGGAGTGAGAGTGCGGGATCACTGATTTACTCTCGAGCACCGACTCCAGCCATGGCTCCGGAGTTAGCCGAGCAGCATTTATTTGAACATCAGCGCCACTGGTGTAAGCCTAGTCTAGTCATCCTGACTGTATGTGCCAATGATTTTTGTGTACATTATGTGGACGGTTAATTGGGAATACAACTGTCCCAGGTTGATTATTGAAACCATAAATATTACTATCACCAGAATTAGTGTATGATACAGTATACAGCTCCTCCCCGACTTACGACCTACTCGACTTATGACCACCCGCACTTACGACCTGCCTCAGTCGTACCAAAATTTGGTCAAATTACGTATTTTTGAGTCCCAACGTCAGTACACAGACAAAGTTTCGTTTGTAATTCACTTTAAAATGGCTGGCAAGCTTAAAAGTGAGAGTTTTGTGGGGCTGAGAAGAAAAAGAGACACCCATTTTAGATTTTCTAAAATTTAAAAATTTTTGACTTAAGACCATTTCGACTTTTACGGCATGAATTTGGGTCCCTAACCCTGTTGTAAGTCTTGGAGGAGCTGTACTCGCATATTATATGTGCGTGAACCAAATATACTCATAGCTGATGTTCTGGGAGATGTCTTCCATTCTGTGTTATTGACAAGTGTGTAGAATGACCATCATTATTGTCACTGATGTATAATAATACCCTTAAGAAGGTATAATTATTGAGTGTTGTAAATGATAACTGAAGATCTATTTTTGCTACTTATAAACTAAGACCTAGTGGCCAGTCTTATTTTGTATAATTGTTACAGCAAAGTAATCAGTAATTGAACCTAAGTTTTATTGTTGTGAGTGAAAGTTCAAATTGTCACAATATTCACATTTGATTTTAATAAATACTGTATTGATTTTGTATAATGTGTGTATCACCACTCATTCCTTCTAACAATGATCATCCCTAAAAATACCCTGATAACTCACATGCCTAACCTCTCGTGTCTACCAAGGCTCCCAACTTAATTGAAAGGTTCATTTTAAAAGTTATATTCTAAAGAAAAGCCTGGGTGGTGGCAGCTCTAAGATGTAAGTATGTACTGTACAGGTACAGACTGTACAGTATAGTAATTACACAAATGTGTAAGAATAGACAACAATGTGGTTCTCCCAGGTTAACCAACAGGACAGACTATAACTTAGGAAATATGAGAATATAAGTAAGAGGAAAAAACAAATAAGTAAGAGTATTGAAAGAAATACAATACATACTTTGAGAAAATGAATTAGAAAGTAAAGAAAATAAAAAGATACAGTATAGTCTCGGTTTACGCGGATTTTTTATACGCGGTTGGTTATTTACGCGGCACCTGTCCAGACGCGCCAATTATTAGTTACGCGGTATATTCCTGAATTTACGCGGGAAGCGGCGCGGACGAGCTGCGCGCTAGGTCGCTCTTACGTCACCGCTGACGTCAGATGAGTTTCGGACTGTGATTGGGCCATGCATCCTTACCACCCACGGATCCCCTCCGCCGTGAGATGTGATTGGTCTATTTAACCTTGCTTGCCCAGTCAACAAAACATTACCGAGTTCTTCACCTGCCACCCACCACAGCCAGCCCAAGTCAGTGAAAGTGATAGTGAGGATATGGACTTTGAGGGGTTTGACAAGGAGGCCCTGCTAGCCTCTGTGGTGGATAGTGATACAGGTGATACAAGTGATACAGGTGAGGGCCAATAATTTGCCCTCTGCCTCAGAACCAACCCCCCCATCCCCGTGTGCCCAGCCATCTCTTCTACTAACGTAAGTGTTAAAAAACCTAATATTATTGATATTTCTCTTAAATATTAATTGTGTGTGCATACCATCATAAAATTAAGATGTTATTTTTACTAC